CAGGCTGGAAGGTGCTCAAAATATGACTGGGGAAATGCTGCCTCTTCAGAGTAGAGCTGACCTTAATGATGTGGATATAGTAAAGCTTTCAGGACCTCCATTTGCTAATGTGGAATGACTCAAGATGAGAAGAAACAGTTGCAAACATCCATTAATAATCGGAACATGGAAGACACAAAGTATGAGTCTAGGAAAATTGGAAGTTGTCAAAAATGAAATGGAACACATAAAGATCAAAATCCTAGGAATTAGTGAACTGAAATGGATTGGTTTTGGCCATTTTGAATCAGACAATCATATGATCTACTATACCAGGAATGACAAATTGAAGAGGAATGGCATGGCATTCATCATTACAAAGAATGTATCAAGATCTATTGTGAAGTACAATGCTGTCAGTGATAGAATAATATCCATACGCCTACAAGGAAGACCCTCAGAAGGAAAATGGGGCAATCTACTTCCGTAGTGATACTGCCTCAGAAACCCAAGGAGGGGTCACTATGAGTCGGATCCAACTCCACGGCACATAACAACAACAACAATAATGAAGACCAGTTAATACCACTATTATTCAAATTATGCACCAACCACCAAAGCCAAAGATAAGGAAATTGAAGATTTTTACCAAATTCTGCAGTCTGAAATTGACCAAACATGCAATCAAGATGTGCTAATTATCACTGGTGATCAGAATAAAAAAGTTGAAAACAAAGAAGAATCACTGGTAGTTGGAAAATACAGCCATGGTGATAAAAATAATCCTGGAGATTGCATGATACAATTTTGTAGACCAACTTACTCATGGCAAATACCTTTTTTCAACAACTCAAACAGCAGCTATGCACATGGAGTTCACCAGATGGAGTACACAGGAATCAGATTGACTACATCTGTGGCAAGAGGTGATGGAAAAGCTCAATATCTTCAGCCAAAACAAGGCCAGAGGCTGATTGTAGAACAGACCATCAACTGCTCATATGCAAGTTCAAGAGAAGTTGAAGACAATTAAAAAAGTCCATGAGAGTCAAAATATGACCTTGATTATATCCCTCCAGAATTTAGAGACCATCTAAAGAACAGATTTGATGCATTGATCACCAATGCCTGATCTGAATACCAGAGGAATAGTGGGTTGACATCAAGAACATCATACATGAAGAAAGACAAAGGTCATTAAAAAGACAGGAAAGGAAGAAAAGACCAAAATGGATGTCTGAAGCTTGCCCTTGAATGAAGAGTGGCTAAAGTAAATAGAAAAAAATGACAAGATAAAAGAGCTGAACAGAAGATTTCAAAGAGTAGCTCGAGAAGACAAAGTCAATTATTATAATGAAATGTGCAAAAACCTGGAGTTAGAAAACCAAAAGGGAATAACATGCTCAGCATTATCTCAAGTTGAAAGAACTGAGGGAAATATTTAAGCCCCGAGTTGCGATATTGAAAGATTCTATGGGCAAAAATATTGAATGATGCAGGAAACATCAAAAGATGGAAGGAATATACAGAGTCACTGTACCAAAAAGAATTGGTCGATGTTCATCCATTTTGGGAGGTGACATATGATCAAGAACCAATGGTATTGAAGGAAGAAGTTGAAGCTGCACTGAGGGAATGAGCGAAAAATGAGGCCCAGGATTTGAAGGAATAACCATTGAAATGTTTCAAAAAATGGATGCTGCACTGGAGACATTCACTTGGCTATGCCAAGAGATTTGGTAGACAGATACCTGGCTAACTGATTGGAAGAGATCCATATTTGTACCCATTCCAAAGAAAGGTGATCCCACAGAATATAAAAACTATTGAACAATATCATTGATATCACATGCAAGTAAAATCTTACTGAAGATAATTCAAAAATGGTTGCAGCACTGTATTGACAGAGAACTTCCAGGTTTGCAAGCTGGATTTGGAAGAGGACATGGAACAAGGGATATCATTGCTGATGTCAGATGGATCTTGGCTCAAAGCAAAGAATATCAGAAAGATGTTTACTTGTGTTTTATTGACGATGTAAAAGCATTTGATTGTGTAGACCATAACAAATTATGGATAACGTTGAGAAGAATGGGAATTCCAGAACACTTAATAGTACTCATGAGGAACCTGTGCATAGACCAGGAGGGTGTCGTTCGAACAGAACAAGGGGATACTGCATGGTTTAAAATCAGGAAGGGAGTACGTCAGAGTTGTATCATTTCACCATACTTAGTCAATCTGTATGCTGAGCAAATAATCTGAGAAGCTGGACTATGATAAAGAACATGGCATCAAGATTGGAAGAAGACTTATTAACAACCTATGATATGCAGACAGCACAACTTTGCTTGCTGAAATTGAGGATGACTTGAAGCACTTACTGATGAAGATTGTAGACTACAGTCTACAGTATGGATTACACCTCAATATAAAGAAAACAAAAACTCTCACAACTGGTTGGTCCAGTAGCATCATGATAGATGGAGAAAAGATTGAAGTTGTCAAAGACTTCATAATACTTGGTTCTAAAATCAACACCAATGGAAGCAGCAGCCAAGACAACAGACGATGTATTTGCACTGGGCAAATCTGCTGGAAAAGACCTCTCTCAAGTGCTGAAGAGCAAAGATATCTCCTTGAAGACTACAATGCACCTAATCCAAGCTATGGTATTTCCAATTGCCTCATATGCATATGAAAGCTGGGCAATGAATAAGGGAGACTGAAGAAGAGTGGATGCTTTTGAGTTGTGGTGTGGCAAAGAATGCTGAAAGTACCATGATCTGCTAAAAGAACTAACAAATCTGTCCTGGAAGAAGTGCAACTGGAATACTTCTTGGAAGCAAGAATGGCCAGACTTCGTCTCACCTACTTTGGTCATGTTGTCAGAAGGAATCATTCCCTGGAGAAGGATATCATGCTTAGTAAAGTGAAGTGTCAATGAAAAAGGGGAAGGCCCTCAACAAGATGGATTGCCACAGTGGCTGCAATGATGCACTTAGGTATAGCAGGGATCATGGGGCTGGCGCAGGACTGGGCAATGTTTCATTCTATTGTACATAAGGTTGCTATGAGTCGAAGACAACTTGATGGCACCTAACAACAAAAACAACATAACCATATGATCGATGAACTTTATTAATTTGTTTAGTCAGTCAACATTATTAGTCATCAATTATGTGCCAGGCACTGAGATAAAGTCACTCACAGCCAGGAGGAAGACTAGCAAATTAGACGATTACAATGTGGTGTTGAAAATGCTAAGCTACAGAAGTACGAATGGTTCTGTGGCAGTCCTTCCTTCACCTTCTCTTTTCACTTCCCTATCCTCACCCAGTGTGGATTACACTTCAACATAAAGAAAACTAAAATGCTCATAAGTGGACCAATAAGCAACATCACAATAAATGGAGGAAATGATTGAAGTTTTGTGAAGGATTTCATTTTACTTGGATTCATAATCAACATTCATGGAAGCAACAGTCAAATCAAATGACATACTGCATTTGGCAATTCTGCTGCAAAAGGCCTCTTTAAAGTATTAAACAGCAAAGATATTACTATGAAGACTAACATGCACCTGACCCAAGCCATGGTCTTTTCCATAGCTTTATGTGCATATGAAGGCTAGACAATGAATAAGGGAGACTAAAGAAGAATTGATAAAATGCAGTGACCCATGTCACTTTAGTTTTGTGTATTTCATTGTACATAAATTATATTTCAATAAAATGGATTTAAAAAGGAGAAGAAGAATTGATGCATTTGAATTGTGGTGTTGGCAAAGAATGTTGAAAATACCATGGACTGCCAGAAGAATGAACAAATCTGTTTTAGAAGTACAGCCAAAATACTCCTTAGAAGCAAGAATGGTCAGACTTTGTCTCTCATACTTGTTCATGTTATCAAAAGGCACCAATCCCTGGAGGATATCATGCTTTGTAAAGCAGATAGTCAGTGAAAAAAGGAGAAGACCTTCAACAAGATGAATTGACACAATGGGTGCAACAATGGGCTCAAGCATAGCAACAATTGTGAGGATGGAGCAAGGGCAGGCAGTGTTTCATTCTGTTGTATCTAGGGTCACTATGACTTGGAACTGACTTAACAACACCTAACAACAATAACGTATCCTTCCCCAGCCCTTGCCTCAGCTTCCTGGCCTTTATCCACTACAGATCCTCTGGGTTTCACTTGTAACAAAATGGTTGGGTGGGTCCTCTGGCTCTGATATGGAACAAACCCAACCACAAACTGCAAAGGAGCTACAGTGGCTTTTGGAGCATAGATGACTCTGGCACAAAAACACATATGGAGGCAGGGAGTGGAGATATCCATAAGGGTACCACAAATGCTGGTGCTGAAAATATGTTTGTGGAATGGATAAATGAAGAATATGTGAATGAATGATACTTGAATAGATGACTAATTGGATGATGAATCAATAGTTGATGTAATGAACGAAAAAGAGAATGAATGTCCAACCCTTGAAACAAAGCTGAATTTCAGTTTCCAACTCCCATGCTTCTTCATTGAAGATCATGTTCCTCAGAAACTTCTCTATGAATATTTTTGTTTAAGAAATTAAAATTATTTTGAAGTTCACTGAGAACTTTGCAATGCATTTAAGAAAACTGGAGCTGTTGGAGAGTTTCAGAGTCAGGGATTGGGCTCACTCACCCAGGAGTAAGCACCCAGTCAAGAAGCTCCCAGGCCCTCAAGCCAGTGCCTTTGGTGGAGATTTGGCTGTTGGAGAGAGAGAGCTACAAAAGCTTTGGTTAAGCCTTCTCGCTTAACCAAAGTAGGTGTGGCACCCTTATCACTAGTTGGAAAGTTATGTGTGAATCAAATTACTTTGTCAAATCAAGAATTCAGTATATCCTTCTGAAGAGAGAACGAAAGGAATCTATCAGAGTTGTAAATAATTCTAACAAATCTATTCCATAAATGTAAAACTTGTGTTGTAAAGAGGAACAGGATCAGGAAGGAAGGCGGTTTGTGGTCTGAACAGATGATTTTTACATGTCCTTCAAGGCTCCTTGGTTCTCCGAGATAAACTGGCTGAAGCTTTTGACTTTGGGGTTCAGTCGATGGGTGAGCTTGACATCGCGATCTGGTCTCGTTTGGTAGAAGCGACACATATTGGCTATTTCCTCTGCTGCAGGGAATCCCAGCTTCTCATAAGCTTCTGGGGTGATCTTTAAAGAACAAGTGAAAATTCTGGAAATGTTATAGCCCACTTTTAAAATTATTTGATAAGAAACTATTTACCCTAATGATGACAGGTCCAAAATTCTTTAGCCTAATTTCAAAACCCAAGAGACTCTGAACTTTTTTCATAAGCCATTTGGCAGCAAACTCTGACTTTTCTGAACTAATTTGGTGGCAAAACTGGATTTGAACTGGTGCAAGGCTATTTATAGTCTTTATCCCATTTATACATCTTGCTGCAAAAAATATTGATGTGGTTCATTACAGGTTCCTGCCCCAACCCCTGCTGCTGATGTTACATGACATAGGTAGATCACAACCTATCCAAAAGCCAAACGATGATGAAATCCATACCACCTGTGATCCCAAGGGTTTTGTATAAGGTACTATAGATCTATACCACCTTTCATCTGTAGAATACATCATAGAGTTTCATGTACATTTCCTCATGGAATTCTCCCAGCAGCCCTCTAAGACATTCCACCTACCAGGTCCTCAACAAACAATCAAGATCCTTACTCTGGCTCTGGGCTCTCTGTCCTTCCCACCTGGCCCATTCCCATCCCAACCTTACCACCTTCCTTGGTTACAGATGAGCATTCTGCCTTCAGCCATTCCAGACCCCGCCAGGGCCAAGCCCTAACATAAACACAGTTCATCACACACCTACTGGACCACAATCTGTCATCCTCCACAAAATCTACCCTTTAAATCCCTTCTGACACTAACTAGATCAGGAGTTTCCTCTAATGAATTAGGAAAGACCCTATCTTACTACCTGATCCAGTATAATTTGTCCTTACTCCCAGAGATAAACTCTGACCTAGTGATTCCATGTAAGTAATTTGATATAAGTTGTTTGTGTCTATGAAACAATGATTGTCACAATACCATGTATACTAACGAAAAATCAAGAACAACTTACATGTTCAACAGTAGAGGAATGGGTTAAAAAGTACGGCATATCTGTTCTAAGAATATTATGCAGTTATTAAAATTAATGTTTCTGAAGAAGTTTAACAAAATAGAAAAAAAACTATTAAGTCAAAAAGACAGATAAAAATGGTACATATAGGCTATTTTAATTTTATTATATGTGTATTATACACACACACACACACACATATGTGTGAGATATATATATTTTCTTTTTTTTACATATACTGGAAAAACAACAGAGGAAAATATACCAAATCTTAATAGTAGCTGTCTCTGAGAGATTAAACTACTTGTGATTTTAATTTTTTATAATCTTCTATATTTTCCTACAATAAGCATTTTGTTTAAATTTTTATTGTGATTTGAGTAAAAGTTTACAGAGCAAATTGGTTTTCTATTCAACTATTCATACATAAGCATTTATTATTTTTGAAATAAGAAAAAAAATTAAAATTTTAAATGAATTTGGAAATAGAAGATTCTATGTGAGAATACAGAAGTTAACTTCTAAAATGTGTGCCTTCTTGAGTCACTCTTTCATCCTGAGATTTTGACAAAATGGCTACTATCTTTCAGTCAAATAAAGGATTCTTTATTGCAGACTTCTGAAGGAAAGGGATTTGTTCTGTTGTCTCATTTTTTGAGAATTTTGAAATGCATTTAAGAAATGCATGTTCCTTTGGAGGTTAGACAGACAGTTGCAGCCAGACCAGACAAAGTTCCTGATGGGAGTTTATTTGGGGCATCCATTCACTAAAGCAGTTAAGCAGTCTCTGACCAGAGAGTAAGCAGGGGAATAGCCAGACTGTGGAGCCTAGAGCTCCACCTTGTGGCCAGATGCATCCTTGCCCAAACTGGGAAAAAAAAATCCAGTGGCCCTAGAGAAGATTTCCACTCGTGACAACCTCATGTGTGTCAGAGAATTGTGCTTCACAGAGTTTTCAATGGCTGGTTTTTCAGAAGTAGATCACCAGGTCCTTCTTCTGAGAGGCCTCTGGGTTGACTTGAACCTCCAACATTTGGGTTAGCAGCCAATTCATTAACCATGTGCCCCACCCAGGGATTCCTGCCTAAGAATTTCCCAACTCTAGAACTGTGGGTGGTGCCTTCAAGTCAGATTAGTTACTAAGAATAGTACTGACCATTTTTTAGAAACTCCAGCCTCCAATGCCCTAGAACTTTTGGTGTTAGTGAAGTTTCAGCTGTGCTACGAAATAACTTTATATACCAACAATAGCCAGGGACCCAGTATGTGATTGAGAGATGCTTGCAAGGTCCTGAGCTGTCCAAAACTATGCCTATTCCTTCCTCTGGGAATGAATGCACACACACACACATGTCCACCCACCTGCCCCTTTCTTCTCTTCTTCCTTACGGAGTTCAAAACCCACAAGACAAAATGAATATGACCCGAAATGCAAATGTCCCTGGGAGAGGAGTCACTGGGAAGTAAATTTTCACCTAAGGATGAGTGACCCTGCAGATCATCTCATGAGCCCAGCTCAGAGTTGGGGCTGACTTCCTGGGTTTGTAACTTAATTCTCCATGAAATTTCATATGGTTTCAATGAGACCCCAGATGTGGCTGGAGTGGCACCTATAGTAGTTTTTAGCTTCCTCATATGCCCAGCATGTGAGGCTGAATTGAGATTCTAGAAACCCCCTCAAAACTCACCACACCAAGAGTTATGGATGAAAATAAGAACCTGCCTTTTATCCCTGACTCTAGGAAAAATTATAAACTAGGGGGTTGGCCAACTTTTTCTTAAAGGGCTAGATGCAAATATTTTAGATTTGAGCTCTGTTGCAACTACTCAACTCTGCCTTTATGGTGAAAGCAGCTGTGCACAATACACGTTCTAACACAAAGGAAGTGGTGTGTCTGTGTTCCAGGTAAACTTTATTTACAAAAACAAGCAGTGAGCCATAGTTTGTGGGCCCTGCTCCAAATGTTAGTGCTGGATTGCACCTTAGCAATCATCTAAACCACACTCACTTCACCCATGGGAAAACTGTGGTCCAGTGAGGCAAAGAGCTGTGCTAACTATTGCCCTGCCAGCTTGAGACAGACTATGGTTCCTCATTTCAACTGTGATGGTACCTCATCACATGATGCAACACCACACATTTTCTTCTCAGAAACACTGTTCTCTTTCTCCCTCCTATCAACATCTGCTTGGGGAAAATGGCTGATAACACTCAATATCATCAACTTCTTTCACTTTTCTGTAAAAGGTCCATCCTGGCCACACTACAGTCCAGGCCATTGCTGCCTGGTTTATAGCACAGAGAAAGGTTGAGGAACTTGTTAAGAGTCTGCAGGTAGATAAAAGCAGAGCCAGGATTTTCCTTATCCCCCATACTGCCACTGGTTAATTCGTGTTTATTCTAGAATCTGTCATCCCCATTGCTTCTTTTAATCTATACACAATCTCACCCTTTCTCAAGGATCACCTCAAGCCCAATCCTTCCATGAAGTCTTCTCTGAGCTTTCTCTGGTCACTTCTATTATGGACAGTCTAGACAACACAATTAAGTCTTGTACTGATCATTGTGACTTCATGTGCATTAATATTTCCACCCCAACTCTGTTGTAAACTCCTTAAAGATGGCACCAGGTACATAATAGGTACTCTGTTTATACCTAGTATGTGCCAAGCACACTCCTAGGTTCTTTAAATGTATTCTCCCTAAATATCAGGAGAACACCCCAACGTAGCATCCCTACTTTACAGATGAGGAAGCAGAGGCTAAGAAAAGCTAAACATCTTGCCCCACATCAGTCAATTGTGGCTGACTGAATACTGAAGTGATCCGCAGAGGCATTTCTAAGGTATGGCAGGTGTGGCACATGCCCTGGGCACCACTTGAAGGGGGTGCCTCTGAGCAGTTTCTATTAACCGTGGCAGTTTTCATCACCAGCTATGAGAGATCATTCAGCAAGTTAAAGTTACTAACTTTCTTATTTGAGAGCCTCCATGGGTCAAGGCAGACCGTGTGATCTTGTTCTGCTGAGGGCAGAAAGAGAAGAAACTGCAAAAAGAAAGTCTTTGAGCCCATCATAGATCAATTTTCATCAGTGAAAGCAAGGAAGGTGCAGCTGGAGCTTTCATACAGTGCCATCATGGGCTAAGTAAAAGATTAATGCACTTGGCATGTACTGTTGAGTTGAAATTAGGGTAAAGTTATATAAAAGATGAGTGTCAGATGTTGGGACAGAGGCACAATTTCTGTGCTTGCCATAGTTGCTCTCCTCTGTAGATACACCTCTGGTGTTCAGCAATGAGTGGTTATCGAAGGAGCTGTATGTTGTTGCTGTTGTGGGCCACTGAATCAATTCCAACTCATCCCAACCCTACAGAACAGAGTAGCACTGTCATATAGGGTTTCCAAGGCCATAATCTTTATGGAAGCAGACTATCACATCTTTCTCTCCAAGAGCAGCTGGTGGGTTCAAACCACCAACCTTTTGGTTAGCAGCCGAGCACTTAACCACTGCACCACCAGGGCTCCTTGGAGCTGGTATAATGTATGTGAAAAAGTATCTCAGTCTCCAGATTCTAAGTTCTTCCCACCCAAAAGTAATTTTCATTAAAAAGCTGATAAACCTTAAGCTAAAGAGATAAAGTCATAAGGGTAGGATTCAAATGGCGCCAACAGGTTAAGATAGTTTTGTGGACCGGATTTCTCTTCTGTTTCTTCTGACGGCCTCAATTCAACATTGCCCAAATCCATCAAAGATTTACCAGAACTTATGCTAGTGGGATGTTGACCCAAGTGATTTCCTGTCATCACATTCATGATCCTAAAAACTCACCTTTGCGTCTCGGACTTTCTTCCCCAAGATCTTGGACAAAACATCAGCATACTGCTGTACGGTTAGAGCTTCTGCACTGAGACCCACAGCCTTGCCTAAAAGCTCCTCTGGAGAACTGAAAATGCTTGAGACGACTGGTCCAACATCAGCAACAGAGATGCCATCCATTGGTATGTCTGCCATGGGCAGTGCTAGTTAAAAAATTATAAGAAGAGTTCATTACATCACACACTTGGCAGGTCCCATCAACCCAAACTAATCAACTGCTTGAAGAAAAGGCATGGAAAAGTGTATCATTTACACTATTGTGCATTTAATCATTTATTGAATTGTTACTGTGGTACATTATTGTTACTATGATCTGTGATGTTTGGCAGATACTTTAGCTTTAGTTCAGGTCTACTTTGCCACCAGTTTTGCCCTTGACAATCTTAGCTATGTTTTAAGGAAGAAAGACTGAGTTGCTGCCATTGACATTATGGTATTCCATTCATTACACAGAGGCTGCCTATGACTATGGCCAAAGAAATGTTCTCAAAAGGTAGCAAATGCTGGCCAGTGGACTGGCAGCATTGGAATTACCCAGGAGTCCTTATTAAAACTACAGGCTTTTGGGCCCCAACTCAGGCCTAGGGAATCAGCCTCTTTGCAGAAGGGTCTGGCAACCTGTCCCTCAGGGGGTCAAGGTCCCCCTAAAGCTCTACTTCTGAGGCCCTAGGTCAAGAGGAGGATGTCTTCTCTCCCACTGCCAGAGAAAGTAAAATGTGTCAAACGAGCTAGAAAGGACATTAGAAGTCACCTCAACCAACTTTCCTGCTATAGATGAGGGAATTGAAGCTTGAGGCTACATAGCTAACTACTTAATGTAATGAGGGTCAGTATGTGAGACTGGAAGTGGAACGCTTAGTTTTTTCAGTTCAAGATCCAGTTCTCTGCCCTTTATAGTGAAATTGCCCCCAGGAAGTCTAGGATAATTTGGTATCACCCTCAACTCTTCACACTGAGCTATGTATATAGTAGGCACTCAAATAATATGTCCACTTAAGGAAAAGAGGGAGGGAAGGAAGAGACGGAGGAGAGGACAGCAAGATACCTGGTTAACCTTCCCTACCACCTTCCATTTACCCAAGGAGTAGTAATCTCCATCAGCAGCTTTTACCGGCTTCCACATTGAGAGAAAGTTTTCGAAGTAAGCGGCGAGGCGGACGCTGGTCATGGGAACGCCGATGGCCCAGAAATACTCTTCCACCTCTCCCTTCCCATCAAAGTGTGGAACCTCCAGCTTGCCGCCGCTCAGTCTCTTGACGTTCTCCAAGCCGCTGTAAACCACGTGCTGCAGACCCAGACGCTTGGCAGCGTCTGCCACCATCTTTCCCTGAGGGCCAAAAATTAACTCTTGATGTAAGCCACTGTATTTGCATGTGTACTACAGGGCAGGCACTGGGCCCCCTCCACCTCTCTTTTTCCTGTTGTTCTCTATTGTCTCCGTGGAGGAGAGGGGGCTCTTCCAAAATCAAAATATGTTCAAGTTACATTAGGAGGGGCCATAGTGTCTAAAACAGAGCCTCTATGTCAGCCTGCCCATACTGGAGAAGGGGTAGAGTACTAGAAGTGGAAATAAACCTATTACAGTTTTATTCTCCCCATTTCATCCTCAGAGTAACCTTAATTTGTGAGGTGTCCTTGCTGCCACCCCCATATGCCATCTACAAACAAATGGTGAGAATTAGAACCAAAAGACTGAAGCCATTAAATGTTTACTCTAGAATATAGACAGGTGCTCCCTAGCGTTCATTTAATAATCAAAGACACCTAAATGACATGTATTTCATAAACTCCAGAGAGATACTGTGGCATGAAACTTATATTTTTGCCAAGACTGAAGGCCTATCCCCTTCCAGAAAGGACAAAAATAGCGAGGTGAGAGGAAAAGGCTCAAATGGAAATAGTTTGCTTCCCACCTGACACACTTCTTTCTTTTTGCTGAGGTGCTCCCAGAAGTTGGTCACCACAAATGCCCCATAGGCACCTTTTAAAGCAGCTTCCACTGATGCTTCATCATTCAGGTCACCTTTTATCACTTCAGCACCAAGATCCCGGAGCACCACGGCCTTTGGTTGAGTCACATCCCTGGTCACTGCTCTCACAGCAAAATTTTTGCTCTCCAAAATGGCCTTGGCCACAGAGCCACCCTGAGCTCCTATAGGGTGAGGGGAAAAAGAAGGATATTTAGTAAGGCAAGTTGACCAGGAAATTCTGTTATTCAGAATGGAGCTGCTAGAGTAACTACTACAAGAGATAGCCCCATGACATGCAAGAGTGGTTCAAATTAAGTTTCTTAAAGTCATAGAATGTCTCTTTAGAGGTATCTTTGCAGGAGCCATGGGGAAGAGGAAGATGGGGAGAGATTTGCAGCAACAAGGAGGCCGAGTAAGCAGGGGTCCAGATCCTCCACGCCAGATTCAACAAGGGTAATTCCACTTTCAGCTGGTTATTTATTTTATATTGGGATTCTTCATAAAATTTTATTTTCAAAAAAATGTCCTAGTCTTATATGGTGTCGGCTACGACTGTCAACCTCTCGGAAAGGGGTCAGTGTAGGAGATCCTGGATAGAGTGGGAGAAAAAATGTGGAATAAAACTCAAAATCATAAAAAAGACCAGGTTTACTGGTCTAATAGAGTCTGGTGAGACCCCTGAGACTATGGCCCCTAGTTACCCTTCAGGCTTGGAATTGAACTCACTCTCATGGCTTCTAGCCAAACAATAGACAGGAATTTAGAGTGAACATTTATACCAGGTAGATACACTCCTTAGAATAATCAATCATGGGAAAACAGAAGGGCAGTATTTGCAAATGGAGATAGTTCAGGGGCCAGGACTACATAGGAAAGAAGGCCATAGGGACAGGGAGGAAGTGTGAAGAGAGCTGTTACATGTGGGGATTGCAGTCAATGTCATGAAACAAATGTGTATGAATTGCTGTATGGCAAATGAATTTGCTCCGTAAACTTTCACAAAAATCACAATAAGAATTTTTTTTAAAAAAGTAAGAAAAGTGTGGTCACTGTACACTACATGGCTCAAGTGTGAACAACAGTTACATAATCATAACAAGTGTCCATCTTAATCCATCGTCTACATGAAAGGCACAAATTGTTATAAACTATATCGGAAGATTGGGGCGAAAGGGAGTGTGTGCTTGGGATGCAAGACAGTTAACAAGAGATAACATCTAAAGCTAGAAAATCAAGAAATAGCTGTATTATCACATCATTTAGAAATAATTGAGACAAATACCAGTAAAAACAGAAAAGTTAAATGTGGAAAAGAGTGGGACAGAATCTGCTGGTTTTCTTAATAAGCCTTGGCTATGTATATAAATATTGCATGGGACATACAAACAGTAAAAAATTATTCAGTGGACATTTTATGTTTTTAATTGCTACATCTGTCAACCCTGCCTCAAAACACCAAAATATACTCAGCCTGGGAGCTGCGCGACCTGCTGTGCTCCAGGGCTACTGAACCAATGCCAAGAACCGGGTAACCAGGTAATCAGAATCAGCACTACGCCCTTAGTTAACTAGGAATCAAACATCTTCTACACTGACACAAATAACAGGATTCCTTCAGTAAACATTCTCAAGGATCCAATATATCCGAACGCCTACTTAACCATCCCCCAGCGTACCTAATTGGTGTCTCACATTTAATGAGACTAAAATGGAGCTCCTGATCTTCCTCCACCTGCTTCCTCCACAATCTTCCCCATTTCAGTTAATTGCAACTTTATTCTTCCAGGTGCTCTAGCCAGAAAAATGTGAAGTCCATCTTGATTTCTCTCGCCCTTAACATCTGGTCCATCAGCAAACCCTGTCAACTCTACCTTTATAATATATCCAGAATCTGACCATTATCCACCATTCATTGCTACCATTCTTGATTTAACCCTATTTATGGCAACCTCCTCCCAATAGATCTCCCTGCTTCAGCCTCTGCCCCCTGCAGTCTCTTCACAAAACACAAGTTGCGTGATCTTTTTAACACTGATGTCAGATCATGTCACTCTGCTCAAAATCTTTTAATGGTGTCTCGTCTCTTTCAGGAAAAACTAATCCCCTTAATGCCTTATATGGTCAGCTCCTCCACTCCATTACTTCTTTTTCCATTCCTTTAAGATCAGTATCAAATCTGGCTGTTGCTTTTTAAGAATTTATTTCACTGCTCTCCCTGCTTCAACCCTTGGGTCACTCCAGAGATCTTCTATACCAGTGAGTGGAGACAGATGGTAAAAGGAAAATTAAAATTAGGCAGTGCCATGACAAGAGTGGAGCTGCAAGTCCAAACACAAAGATCTGGAATGTCCTAACAGAGCAAGTGACATTTGAGTAGAAACCTGAATAACAGGACGGAGTAAGCAGAGTGAGTAATCGGGGATCATTCTAGGCTGAGGTGGGAGCATTTTCTGAGGAACAGCAAAGTGGCCAGGATGGCTGCTACAGAGTAAATGAGGGAAAGGGGGAGGAGGGGAGGTCCAAGAAGAGCTTTGCAGGCTACTATCAACACTGCATGTTATTTGGAGTCAGATGTGGAGCCATTGGAGAGTTTTGAGCAGGTAAGTGACATGATTTGACTTGGATTTCAGATGGATCATTGTGGATGTTGAAATGAGAAAAGATTGAAGGGATGTAATTTGGTTAACATTTTTAAAAGATGGTTCTGGCTGTTGGACAACAGACTGTAAGGGAGGCAAGATTGGAAGCAGGGAGGTCAATTAAAGGACTCAGGCAGGCACTCACCTGAGAGAAGTCCCTCAGATATATCTCCTAACCCCCATCCAGTCCCATCATTTCAGAATCATTGCTGTGCTGGTCAGGCGTTTGGATAAACCCTACATACCCACAGCTCTCCCACTTGCCCCTTGTGTTTAACAGGAATTGAGTGCAGGAACCTCTACAAAGTATAGCTTATGTTGAAATGCAACTCATGCCAACAAGTTCACACACAACTGAGAAAGAGCGAATGTGTTGGAGAAGTCCTCTATCCTGAGATCATTTTTGACAAGACAATCCCAATCACCTTGCTGCTTTACTACATCAGAAACTCAAGCAATAGGATTATTTTCTTAACTTCCCTCAGTGGGTTATTTGTTCAGCCCACTTTGAGTAAAAGCAGGGAGACAAGAGAGTGAGCAAAGTTAGCAAGCACTTAAAAAGTCAAGAGGATTTTTACCTGTTGCTCCAAACACTGCAATTACTTTCTTGTTGGCCATGATAATGCAAGGGAAGAGTGAGGAAAGTAGCAAGAACTCTTCTCAGAGCAGCTGAAATGCAAGTTTCTCTTTTCAAGCAAGAACTTGCCTCAGAGCAGCAGCAGCAGCAGCTGAAATGGAGTTTCTCTTTTCTGATGGGAATTACAAAGCAAATCTGATTTTTTGCTGCTGGTAGGTGCCAGCCAGTCTGTTCCTTATATATGTTCTCCGTTTTTCATAATGTTACGGACTGGTCCAATTGTGAAGGTTCAAATCTGAGTACCACACCCTTCTCTTGCCCCTCCCTTATAAAGTTTTTGTCGTTACCACAAGATAGCTCACTCACACTGACACTGCAATTTTCTAAAGTGGGATTGCTCACTTCCTCATTTGTTCACAATACAAATGTGTATTGAATGCCTATCGCTCACTGATTCATTTACTCAGCAGATGTGTATTGAGTGCCTTTGGCATACAAGGCATTAAACTAGATACGTTGATGATTTGGATCTTTTAAGAGAAATAAACTTGTAAATAAAAAGTTCAATGCAGAGAAATGGCAGAGGGAAGCTGAAGGGACATGGGCCATGGAGGAGAGGACAAAACACAGACTGGATTAATGGGGAAGATTTTCTGAAGGAGTCAATGCTGGAGCAAACCTGAAGACCCCACATGAATTATTCAATCATAGAGGTGGGAGGGTGGGAGGAGAGGCCATTCCAGGCAAGAGGAGGCACATATAACCTTGCTCAAAGGCAGGGCAATCGCAACAGCATTTTATGATGGCTGCAGCAATGATGCATGAATGATAGAAATAGTACTGGGAAGGAAGACAGAGGCAACCCCAGCAAAGGTCTTTGCATACACTGCAAGGAAGGTGGAAGCTGGGTTGAGAAATATAAGACTGGAAGCAAGGACATTCTTAAGGAAGACAAAGAAATAATACAAGTGAGAAATATTGAAGATGTGGAATAAATGGAAAGATCTTCCATGTTCATGGGTTGGAAGACTTAAAATTATTAAGATTTTAATAATTAATGTGCAATATTAACAAAGCAATCTATAGATTCAGCACAATACCAATCAAAATTCCAACAGCCTTCTTTACAGAAAGGAGCTCTGGTGGCACAGTGCCTAAGGCATCTGACTGCTAACCAGAAGGTGGGTGGTTCAAACCCACCAGCCACTTCATGAAAAGAAAATTGAGCAATGTATTTCTGCAAAGATTTACCACCTCAGAAACCCAATGGGGTCGCTATGAGTTGGAATAGACTGGATAGCAGTGGGTTTTGGTTTGGTTTCTTTACAGAAATGGAAAAACCGGTCCTCAACTTTGGATGGAATAGTAAGAGGCCCTGAATAGGTAAAGCAAAGTTTAAAGAGAATAACAAAGTAAGTGGACTCATATTGCCTGATTTTAAGACATGTAATACAGCAATAGCAATCAAAACAGCCTGGTATGATATAACAACAGACACATAGATCAATGGAATAGAATTAAAAGTCTAGAAATAAACTCCACCATATACAAAAACAAATTCAAAATGGATTAAGAACCTAAATGTGCCGACAAAAATCATAATATTCTTAGAAGAAAATGCAGGGGCAACACTGTAGGGCCTAGCTTTTAACAAAGGATTAACTAATATAATAACAAAAGCACAAATAGCAACAGACAAAATTAACAAATGGAACTTCATAAAAATTTAAAACTTTTGTTCGTCAAAATATTGCAGTGTGGTGAATTGCTTAATATGGCCCTCCTACACAGTCCTCAATTTTGTGATATATTGTAAATCCTAGTGTGGTTATGATTATGGTTCTATTTTGGGGTGAATTGTCTGTTGTGTTGATGAGGCAGGATTAGGGTGGGATGTATCTTGAGTCCCATCTTGCAGGAGGGTGTGACATAAGTCATTACCCTTAGCTGCCTTGAGGTACATACGTGAATGCTCTGGCAAAGTTCACTCTCTTGTTCTGGATCCTGTTCTGGTCCATCACCATCTTACCTATGGTTCTTGGAACTTGAGACAGTAGCCAGTCATCTATCTGACTTGCTGATTTGGGGTCATCAGTCCCTGCAACCACATGAGTGAGGAGAATCCTCCAGACCAACACCCAACACGTGGATATGGAACTTGCCAGCCTTTACAACTGCTTGAGACATTTCGTTGGCAGTTTGTGAGTAATGTGAGATGTTACAGTAAAATATGGAACCCTGAGACAGAAGGAAGGAGCTCTGGTAGCATAGTGCCTAAGGCACTTGACTGCTAACCAGAAGGCTGGTGGTTCAAACCCACCAGCCACTCCTCTGGAGGTTGGCCAATCTACTTCCATAGTGATACGCCTCAGAAACCCAAGGAGGGGTCACTATGAGTCAGGTCTGACTTGAGGGCACATAACAACAAGAAGAACAAGACAGAAAGGAAAGTACTGAGGGGAAGAGGAGCAGTTGATGTAAGAGATGATGGTATGGTACAGCAGTTTGAAAAAGTTGGACATTTGGGACATCATCAACCCCCACCTCATAGGAACCAGCCTTCTGCTGATCCTTCTAAAACAAATTATTTGAGCAGTTGGTGTCAGAATGGTAGGGTTCACTGAAATATGTGGTTTAGGAAAAAAGTGCAGTGGCAGATCTAACTCCTGAGGTGTTGGCTAGTTGGATGCATATGGAAATACAGAGTGATAAGGAAAGGGCAAGACTTACAATTCCTTGGTTGTTGCCATCAGTAATAGCTGCAATGACAGGGAAAAAGAATGTAGGTGCAGGTTGTATCACTGAACCAAGCCCAGATGTGGTCAGGTCAGAACAATGACTGCTAGTCTCAGGGCCTCCTTGCAAAGGAAAAGTTGTGTTAGAACAATAGTAAGTATTCCTACCATCACTGGTCACCAAAAAGGTAGTCCATTAGGGGAACAGACAGAATCAAGAAACTTAAAACCAGGGGATATAGTGTAAAAGAGTTGCTTCAATTTGTAGATCAGTATCTTCAGCTTCCTGAGGAACTTTTACTAAAATGGATTGTGAAAATGAGTGACTTAGAAGTGTCTTTAGTTTTGAATGCTACAAAATGGAAGAGTGTGTTTGGGTTGATGCAAGACTCACAACTCACTACAGAACAGTAACAAATGATTATACAAGATCCAATTACACAACAGGTTACCCCAGAGTGGACAGCCAGCCTGGTGGAATGGATAGAATTTGCAGTGAGGTTTGTTTACCCTGCTAAGGGAAACTGCCCATCTTCCCCCCAAGTACCCTATGGAACACTCCAGAGAAAGCAGCTGATATGCCGCTTATGCGAGCCATGCTGAAATGGCTTTTTGTTTTGTTTTTCAGACCAGCAAACCTGGTCCCTTTTTTTTTTTTTTTAAATGATTTTGAGTTTTGTTCCACATTGTTCTCCCACTCTATCCAGGATCTCCTACATGGATCCCTCTCTAAGTGGTTGACAGTGGTTGACAGTGGTAGCTGGGCACCATTTAGTTCTTCTGGTCTCACAGTCATATAGCTGAGGATCGCATGGTGTACCAATCGCTTGGCCTAATTGTTTCCATGCATCTTTGGTTTTCTTCATCCTTCTTTGTTCTGGATGAGAAGAGACCCATCGTTGCATCTAGATGGCTGCTTGCAAGCTTTTAAGATCCCAGTCACTATGCGGCAAAGTAGGATGTGGAACAATGTTTTTGTGTAGTATGTTATGCCAATTGGGCTTGATGTTCCCTACGACTATGGTCATGAGCCCACAGGTCCAACTACTTGCTCCCTGCAGGTAGCTGGCTATGCCCAAGAACTTGTCAGCCCAAGAACCTTGTCCCTTGTCAGCTCTACTATATACCTGGGAATTCTTACAGAACATACAAATACATTTATAGAAACGTTGTCTGGCAACCTTATACATGGCCTTGGGCATATTCCCCCCTGCCTAGACATACCTAATAGTTCAGCCTGTCACCCATCTATCCAATGTTTACCTTCACTGACAAAGCAGTATTGTATGTGCAAAAGGGTTCATCTTTGTTGTCTGTACCTCCCATGCACCTCTCTCTCTCTTCCTCTTGAATGCCACCATGTTGATCTCTCATATTTGGTACATTGCCCTTCTCTTCACCCAAATCAATACTTGTCTCTACCTATCTAACAGTGTTCCCTGCCCTCTGCTCCACCCCTGGTAACCAACAAAGAAATTTTCCTTCCATATATAAACCTTTCCTTGACTTTTTACAATAATGGACTAACACAATATTTGTCCTTCTATAGCTGACTTATTTCACTCAACATAATGCCCTCCAAGTTCATCCATGTTATGCGGTGTTTTGCAGAGTCTACGCTATTCTTTAGGGTTGCATAGTATTCCATTGTGTGAATGTACTATAGTTTGCTTATCCATTCTTCTGTTGATGGACACAGGTTGTTTCCATCTTTTTGTTATTGTAAATAGTGCTGCAATTAACAAGAGTGTACATGGAATGGCTTTATGGTGATCAGAATATTCATCCAGTCAGCACGTCCCTTACACAGGTCATGGCAGATGTGGTAATCAGGGAGCCACTTTTACATGGGCACCCCATGGAACCTTGCTACTGTGAAACAAAGCAACAATCTGAGAATCCATGTTGGATCTGTTAGCAAGCTTCCCCACATGAGTCTTAACAGATGCAAGAAACAGAGTGATTCATAGGAGAATGAGAAGAGGCAATGAGAGAACTCACCTCAGCAGGTCAGAGATTTTCAAATGGTTACTAAGAAATGAGGTGAATACAGCAGACATTGATGAAATTTAGATAAGTGTGCTAATACAGCACTACAGGAGGTTGGGTGGACCCACTGAAATTCCTGCTGGTTCCCCAATATTAAAGAGGCCTAAACAACATTCTATTCTCTCCAATTAGGAGAAACTTAATGATAGAAAGTCCCACCTGGGACCAGTTGAAGCACAGGCTCAGCTAGTTGATGAAGATAAGGACTGATGAGGGGGCAAGGGTCTTCTGGTACAGCCCCCAGCAGAGGATCTGAG